CTCCCGAGGGGTCCCAGACTGCGAGAGGGCACAGGCCGGGCTGAGGGACACCCCCCCCCCCCCCAAAGCCCAAAAATTTTTGTGCACCGGGCCTCTAGTATAATATAATATATAATATATAATATTATTACATAAAATGTAGATATGTCTAAATCTCACAAATGACTCAAACATTCTACCAATTGGAGATTACTTTGAATTGAAATGCCATTTTAGTTATATCAAGGATCAACAATTTTTTGTAAAAAGGCAGATAATAAATATTTTTGGCTTTGTAAGTCACACAGTCTCCCTCACAACTACTCAGTGTTCAACTCCATTGTTGTAGCTTGAAAGCAACCGTGAAAATACTTAAACAAATGGTTATGGCTATGTTCCAATAAAACTTTATTTACAAAAAAGAGACCACAGTTTGCCAACTCCTAAAATAAATCAAGAAATCTTTCAAAGTCGCTGTTTTTATTTAGTTAAGTAAACTGGGACCTTAATAAGGAAATTACTCCTCCTGCCAAAAGACATGAGATAAAACATATTACCCATTACCATGCCCCAGATATCACCTCAAGGCAAGATGATGATGCTCCTACAGGACAGAGTGCACAGATTAGAAAGCAAAGCCATAGCACTGGGCACAGAAAGAGATGCAACTCCCAGGGCAATGAGTGGCATTCATTTGGCAAAGGACTGGAAAGAGCAACCATCTTTGAGAATATGGTTAATAAAGTTTGGGTACATAAAGCGAAAGTTAACCATTTATAGATGTGGAGACAGAAATTACTGAAAATACTAAGAAAGGCTTTACTTAAAAGGAAGCAATACCCCAGTACACACTCACATGGGACAGGAGTGAGGGGGAAGACACATTATAATCAAGTATCAGCATAACATGGGACATGCCAAATGAAAAGAAATCAAGGCCAGGCCAGAACGAAGAATTAGTCTCATAGTTACTGAAAAGTTTTCACCCCCTCAGCTCCCTAGTGAAAAAAAATTAAAAATTAAGGTCAGATTTCCTTTGTATGTACATCACTTGCAGTGATAATGCTTGGCCCAAGACATTACTCTAGCCTTTCCGGCAGTGACAACCTCCCCACGACAATATGCTTCTCGCTAAGGATCTTCTCCATCCCTCTCCAGAAGAGAAGAGGAAGCACAAGAAGAAGCACCTGGTGCAGAGCCCCGATTCCTACTTCATGGATGTAAAATGCCCAGGATGCTATGAAATCACCACCATGTTTAGCCAATTGCACAAACAGCAGTTTTGTGTGTTGTTGCTCCCCTGTTCTCTGTCAGCCAACAGGAGGAAAAGCAAGGCTTACAGAAGGATGCTCCTTCAGAAGGAAGCAGCACTAAAAGCACTTCAAATCAAGATGAGTGGGAAACCATCAAAGACATTTTGGATTTTTTTTAAAAAAAAGGTATTATTCTACCCTTGAGATAACAGAGATATTGAAATAATTTCTTTGAAATCGTGTAGCTCAAATGGACCCCGTGAAAATAAGGTATAGGGGTCCCCTTGCATTATCTCATTACTAATTTAAGGCTTGGTCAATTTGTTGTGCATCAAGACATTTTCATCCTAAGCATTAAATATTTATTGTATTGAATCCCTTAGGATGAAAGGTTTTTTTCAGAGAGGAATTTAAGGAAGAAGATAGTATGAAAAATGACTGGACCATAGTTTCACAAGGACAGAAACTATAATGTTCTTTACCACTAATGCACATTGTCTGACCTTTAGACACTCGAATGGATGTTGAATGAATGAATGCAAGTTCATAGCATATAATCATATTTAAAATAGCTATATATAGTTGCTATTTTTATTCTGTAGGATAGGTTCAGTCATTCTTAATCTATTCAACAGCTTCACACAGCTCTATAAAAATTCTCCTCCAGATATTATCTTTATTAATGGCTAGATGAACCTTACATAACTACCAGATGAGTAAAATTAATTACACAATGACCATTAATAACAAACCTTATTTCTCTCTATAGCTGTTCTACATTAACATATGAACATACATAGGTATATATAGATGTACATACATACATAAATACCTCCAAATTTTTGTCTCATCCAGGGAACAGGTTTAAAAAAACCATAAAATTTCCCATTTGAGGGACCTTTGGATTAACAATGTATTTAGCAGATTTCAAAATTAGATTCATGAAGTTAGTCTCTTTGACTTGGAGCCAAATTAAATTGTGTCCTTATTCACAGGACACAATTATATGCATAGGAATCAGACAGTATTAAATATTGTAGGTTTCTCATGAGACATTGAAAAAGAAGAAAATAAATCACAGCAATTGGTTCTCCTATGATGCCAAATTGATAGTCACTTTTTTAAAAAACCATCAGCTAAAGCAGAGTATGCAAGTATTTTACATAATATAGATATTAGATATGTACAATCATATATATTATAAATTTATACATTTATTATACATGATTATAAAATCTAGATTTTACTTCTCTGTTGTAAATATATCTGTGTGATATATATATATATTTTATATATATTTATATAGGATAATTTATGAGATCTTTCATTTCACCTCTGATTATTAAGTTAGCAAAAGTCTTAAATAAGGGCCAGTCCTCTAAAACGTTTTGGCTACATAACACTATATTTCTAGAAAGAGAAATATTATCATCTTCATGATTAACTTATCCATGATACCTTTTTATTTTCATGAAATAAGACTAAATGTTTCCATTGGTCCTGTGTTTACTACAGATGTTATTTTGCCATATTCAACTAGACTTTTTTATGTCATTTCCCGTGCTGAGGATTTTCAGATATAATGTAGACTTTTAGAGAAATGAATAGCCTGCAGTGCTTTGCAAAGTTATAATTACATCAAGGAGTTCATAAACTAAAAGCCTAATGAAATTATTGCCATGTAATTCTCTGTGGGTTGTTTTATAGTCTGTAATGCTATATTTGGTATGTGTTTTAAAATAATCAAGACAGCCTGGCCATTGTGGCTCAGTTGTTTGAGCATTTACCCATGCACCAAGAGGTCGCTGGTTTGATTCTGGGTCAGGGCACATGCCTGGTTTCAGGCTTGATCCCCAGTAGGGGGCATACAGGAGGCAGCCTATTGATGTTTCTCTCATTGATGTTTTTATCTCCCTTCCTCTCTCTCTAAAAATCATTTATAAAAATAATCAAGGCAGCAGTAGGACAACAATAAACAAGTCTTCACCTAAGCTGTTCTGGCATAATCATAATTTCTATTTAAATAGATATAACTTTATTGCAAGTGAGACAGAGGAATGAGTCTCACAAGAAAGAGGAAAACATTTTTAAGGCACAAGGGGCTTCTTAGACATCTTTCTTCCTAGTTTTCTAAAAGTTATGTGTAAGGCATTTAGAATGATTATTTTATTATTAGCTCATGAGGATATTGTAAAGAAAATGAGATTATGGTTAAGGGAAGAGCTTACAACTTTCAAGAAAAAAAATACACACACACACACACACACACACACACACACACATACATATACATAAAGCTTGGTCAACAGTTATTTATAAGTTAAAATTTTGAAAAATGAAGATATTCCAAACATGCTTTTTGACAAAGGAAAGCAAAAACAAAACTTTATCATTATTAACATCCACTGGAAATGTTCCCAAGCATGAGGTGCCAAGAGGGGTAATTGGAAAGTCTGGGTCTGTTGCGATTAAGAATGCAGAACCAGACTATGATTTTTAAATCTGGCTCTACCACTTTTGACCTGTGTGGGGGCAACAGTATACCTAACTATAATAGGATGAGCTAGATTAGCACCCAGTAACAATTGAACCTCAAACTCAAGCCATTTACACAACAGCTTTTACTTCTCACTCATACAAAGCTACTATAGGTTCCCACAGACCTCCAGGGCAACCCTGATCCTTCAGTTGGCCCAACATTTCAGGCTGCTTGAATCTTATGCCATCTTCATATTGATAAGGGCCTTCATGCCATATAGGGAAAGAGAAAGCATGGAGAATCCAAGCATCATCTCTTACAAGCTTTTATCTTTTATTTGATGACAATATTGATTTTTTTAAAAAAAAATATTTTTATTGATTTCAGAGAGGAAGGAAGAGGGAGAGAGAGAAAAAAACATCAATGATGAGAGAGAATCATTGATCGGCTGTCTCCTGCACACACCCCCACTTGGGATCAAGGCCATAACCCAACCTGAGCATATGCCCTGACATATGCTCTGACCTGGAATCAAACTGTGACCTCCTGGTTCATAGGTCAACACTCAACCACTGAGCAACATCAGCTGGGTGACAATATTGATTATTGTGAAACAGGCAGAAAAGAAAATTAAGATGAAGTTAACCCAAACTGTTTAAATATTTTATTGTCCCTTTAGAACTTGAAAGGGCCTAAAAATAATCCATTCAAGCCCTCTTATTTTACAGATGTGAAAGCAAACACTCAGAGAAAGTATAAAAACTTTTGTCCAAGGTTACACAGCCAACAACTGCAAAGTCTGGAGTAAAATTTAGATATTTCTCCTAGCTCCCCCACTGGCTATAATTCCACCAACTTTTGGATGTGTGCTAACACTCTGGCTTCTTTTGTTATAGCCTAGAGACCAGAGTGACATTCTGGTAAGATGTCTCTCTTGCAAATTTATATTTAATAGAAAACCCAGATATGATGGTAATGATAGAGGGAATGTCCCTAGACATCAAATGGTATTGCAACAACTATTATTAATGCCTATTCATTTTTAACAGTGTGATACTGATTGTCCAACTCAAATGAAAATCCAGAGTTAAATACCATATTAAATAATAATATTTTTGCATATGGCAGGAAAGAATAAGATCTGAGAAGAGAGAGGATAGCATGCCACAGAACACTGAACATAGTAAAAAAAATAAGGTCTGTTTATCATTTTGTGCTTTCTGAAGCAACATTATTTTAAGATGAGTTTACCCCAGATCTTTACTCGCAACACACTGTAAGGTCTATGTTAACAGTAGGGAGAGCTAGAGTGTTGTGCTAACTGTCACAATGATTGTGTTCCATTTACAGAGCAAAGGGGAAATCAAACACCATGTCAAGAATAGCAAAGCGCCTACTGTATTTATTGAAACGTATGGCTGGCAATGCCTAATACAATCACTTCCCACTTGAACAGATTCAGGTTCAAAATGTAGCTTCAATTATCTCTAAAATGAACAGCGTGTTCAGAGCTCTATTAGCACTTCCATTAATTTAGATCATAATTATATCAACTTTCTCCTTTCCCTTACCCCACTTCCATTCAGACCCCTCTGGTCATGAGGCTGAGCCGAGAAGGAATACTGTAGGGTAGCCACCCCAAAGCATCCTGGGAAATGGCAGATCAGAACTACTGCTGTCAGTTACTTCTTTGCTAAACATCTCCTCTTGCAAAACTGACCACTGTTTAAATCAGTTCAGAGATGCAATGATTCTATGCAACAGTCCTGGCAACACTCTGGCCCAGGGGTCCTCAAACTTTTTAAACAGGGGGCCAGTTCACTGTCCCTCAGACGGTTGGAGGGCCGGACTATAGTTTAAAAAAAAAAAAACTATGAACAAATTCCTATGCACACTGCACATATCTTATTTTGAAGTAAAAAAACAAAACGGGAACAAATACAATATTTGTATTTGCATGTGGCCCGCGGGCTGTAGTTTGAGGACCCCTGCAGTCTGGCCCTATATAATGTAATCTGACTTTAACAACAAGAAATATTATTTATTCAAATGGTGGCTCGCTTAACTTGATGACATGGTCAAAAAATAGTTATATTCCTAAAGCTAGTATAGCTCTTTCAAAGATTCTGCAAAATCTTGTTTAGTGTAATGAGGACTGTAATGACATTTTTATTATTTATTATTAAATACAACAAATACAGGGTGGGGCAAAAGTAGGTTTATAGTTGTATGGAAAATAATACAATAACTAATAAATAATAATACAAAAATAAACTGTTTTTCCTACTCACAAGTGTAACCTACTTTTGCCCCACCCTGTATTTAAAAAAAAAAAAAAAAACCAAAGCTGGTACCTCCTATTCTTTTAAACATGGCATTGATAATATTCTTCCTCCAGTAGATTATGAATCAGAGAAGTCTAGATAAGAATAAAAGTAGCCCCTTCATGGTGTAGCTTGGACTTCTCAAAGATGGTATTTGTCATTCACATCAAACCTGAGCAAGTATTCGGGCTAGTTTTATATGTTAAAACCAGAGGGGAAGGCTTAGCAAGGACACTGCTTCTTGTTTCAGATGAGGCAAGCTGAGAAGATGGATATCATTTGGCTCATACACTGAACTCCCCTCCCTTTTGTTCCTGCTTCTCTCCTGCTTGGAGCTGGCTCC